AATGGTAGCTTTTGGGTCATTTTGCAATTAGTGTGGCTTAGGACCCAAATAGAGGCTGAGTTATAGTCCATATCCTTGCGGGCCTTTATCCATCGCAAGTTTAGTTAACGAGATAATTAGGCTATTTCTTTTACAAAATTGAAATATACTTTCTATTATAATCTTCAAAAAATTTATATAAACTTAAAATTAAATTTATTGAAATACACTTGCTTTATATTCTTTAAATATGCCTGATGCTATTTATTCAAACTATACCCATATATTTAACAGGTTAGATCGCTTAATGTCATTTAATTGACACCTAAACTGTTATTCATTTTAGGAAAAATGCTTGCTGTATATTATCATTTACATGATCTTACACAGATTTATGAGATGTCAAAAAGAAAAGTGGAGGATTTTTTTTTTTTTTTTTGTTGATGAGATTTCAATCTAATCAAATCTTGGCTCGTTGATATACATAGAACACAACCGTTATTCTAGATAGATAGCATTTAACCCTTAACACATTGTTACTAGAAATTATTGATATTGTTACCGTGAATTGATGTTGCTTTTAGAAAAAAAATAAATAATTTTAATGGTAATAATCTTCCATTTGAAGCTGAGAGAATATTTTGGAAAAAGAAGAAACGGTTGCATTGAAAATAAAATCGTCAATAAAAAAAAAATTTCTTTACATTTAAAATATTAAAAAAAAAATGAATAATGTGTGTATATAATTTTCCTGTAATTAACATGAAACTGAACTTTTGAAGAGACGTTGAAACCACATAATGATAGTTGTTTTGACTGGATTTATTTTACTATAACTAGATTTCTATCCATCCTTCGACCTGGTCATTATTGTGTAAAAATAATATTTTAAATAATGATTTTTTTTTTTGAAAAATATGTGATTAAAAAATGAGAAATGTTTTTGAGTTTAAGTATAAAATATTTTATTGTGTGAATGCGTAGTTAAAAATAAATATGAAAAATAAATTATTTTATTTTAGAGAGATTCAAACGTGGATTTTTGGTTATTTTCCACTTTCTTTTGAAATGAACAAGTCATCTTAAAAGTTAGGTGTTAAAACTGACAAACATGGACAACTGAGTCTTGATTATTAACAATTTCTACCCTACAACCCGGCCCCACAATCCAGTTCGAGTGACTCTAATATTGAAATGATCACTCGCCTAAATTTTAACGCGGAATATTTATTGGGTCTTGCTTGAGGTACATAATTATTCACATAGAGGATGACATAACACTCACATGGGGTGGGGCCCACCATTTTGGTGGGGTCCACCACATGTGAGTGTTATGTCAAACTCTATGTACAATAATTATGTACAACAAGAATTATTCAATTTAAAAACAGGTGGCGTGGGCCGCGTGGCAGAAGAAAAAAAGAAATAAGAGGGAAAAGATATTTTCTGTGTCC